CCAAAACACCTTAAAAAGTTTAGTTAATTATTCCTTGTATCAGCCAGTTGATTACTTACTAGGAAGTAAGGAAAATTTAATTGCTGGGCAGTTAGTGCCAGTGGGCTCGGGAGGTAAGGAGCGAGAAAAATTTCAACGGAAAAGTTTGCGAAAGGAATAATAGTATCGAAGAATTAAATAAAGAGTGAAGCAAATTCGGCTTCTGTATTAATGAGAAAGGAGAATTATTAGGCACGGTAGATGGTAAAGAGTATAAATGCGATAAGGCTAATTTTTTCACCAAAAACGGAAAACCAGTAAAGCAAGAAGAAAAGAGAATTACAAGAAAACCGACAAAAAAAATCTAAAATATTTATATAGGAGGTAAATCCTATAAATAAAGAAAAAAATATAATGTATATGGAGAAAACCGAAACGAAACTGACAGGGACTAGTAATTATTAAAACGATTACTAGCGTTCTGGAAAAGAAGTGTAATGGTAATCGTTCAGTAGTTCACTGGTTAAGGGACAAAATATCAAAATAAAAAGAAAATTTAATAAATAATATAAATGTGAACAAAGTAAAACTTTGTGTTCGTAGTGGTGGTCAAAGGGGGGTTGACAGAGGAAACTCATAAGGCTGCCTGAGAATGCAAGCAAAAAAATAACAAAGGAGGATTTTCTGTAGAAATTACTGGCTATGTTCCAGCAAATCATAGAACAGAACCAATCAAAAAAGGAGCAAATGAAGTTAATGAAGTTAAAGATAAATATGGATATAAACATTTACTTACGCCAACGAAAACAGAAGAATTTTCTGAAAGAACTGAATTAAATGCCAAGTCCGGAGATGCTACTTTAGTTTTGACAAGATGAGAATTTGATCCTGGAAAAGATGGAACTGGTCTTACTGAAGAATCAGCTAATCAATACGGAAAACCAACATTAACTATTTATTTTGACAAAGAAGACACTTTTAACAAAAACCTTGATAAGGCTACTAAGTGGCTGAGTGAACAAATGACCAAGTTTTCCAAAAATACTGATGATGGTTGAGTTTTTGACCTGAATGTGGGTGGTCCGCGAGAAAGTAATTGCCCTGGCATTAAAAAAGAAACATACAAATTTATGACTGATTTAATAAACAAAATTGAAGAACTATACTCAGAAAACAGATTAGAATTTTTACAGGAACAAAATTCAAAGTAAGTAAATTAAAATTTATAGGATATAAAAAAATCCATCAAAGATGAGTTGAGAAATAAGTGACAACAAAGCATTTTTCTTTTTTAACAGAAAAAGGTCCTTGTGGTTATTTCATTTCTCTTTTTCTGTAATTTTCTTTTGAAATTTAAAAGCCTATAAACTAACCGGAGTGAATTTTTTTTCTTTTTTATTTATTTGCCTATTTATGTAGGTTTTCTTGTTTGGTATTTTCGCGAGTAGGAAAAAGGAGAGAAAATTTCTTATATGTCATTTCTCGTTTCGAGGAACCAAATACAAATTTTTTATTATTAAAATAAAGGAAATTTTTGGCTTAAATAATAAACTTCTTTTTTTCCACTTTTTGTTATTTTTCTATCTTTATAATTTCGCAAAATCAAATCAATTATTTTGGCAATTTGCAAAAACTCCTTTTTTTCTAGTCCCCGAGTGGTTAAAGCCGGCGAGCCAAGTCTAATGCCACTAGCAATTGAAGGCTTTTCGGTATCATAAGGTATCATTTGTTTATTACAGACAATTCCCACTTCTTCTAAGAGTTCGGTGGCTTCCTTGCCAGTCAAATTATAACTGGCTTTGGTATTAATAGTTGATAAATGGGTTTCGGTGCCACCACTAATTACCTTTACTCCTTTTTCACAAAAGTAATCAGCCATAATTTTGGCATTTTCTAATACTCTTTTTTGATAATTTTTGAACTTG